CTGATAGTTCGTTCCTGTGTAAAATTGGGATAATCTCTACCATATAGAGTTGTTGTGAAGATTCAAATGTGCAAATCACCATGCAAGTACAAGGATAAGCAGGAGTCATGGATGAGATTCTGAGTAAGTAATGGGAGATAACGGGACCCATAATATTCATTATCTATAGCATCCACTGATCATACACAGCCCACATATTCTGACAGCTAAGATTTCAAGGCAACTTTTAGATAGGAAAATCAGAATTTGGAAGAAGAAAAAGCATTCTACTAAATGAGGACCATCTTCTTTGAACTCCTCTAGGCCAGAAGTTGTAGGAACTTGCTTTTTAAATTAATTCTGAGAAGTATAGGGAGTTGGATACATTACATATCACAGGACTGATCCAAAGTTAGGAGTACACTTTTTCAATGAAACTCTTCCTTTTTTTTTTTTTTAAATCCTCACCTGAGAATATTTTTCCATTTATCTTCAGATAGTGTAGGAAGAAGGGGGGGAGAGAGAGAGAGAGAGAGAGAGAAACATTGATGTGTGAGAGAGACACATTGACTGGTTGCCTCCCACATGACCCCAACCAAGGCAGGGTCTGAACCCCAACTGAGGTATGTGCCCTTGACTGTAATTGAACCCACAACTCTTTGGTCCATGGGCCTATGCTCCATCTGCTGAGCTAAACTGGCCAGGGCTATGAAACTCATTTAAAAAAGCAACTGAACACTTTTTTTAAAAGGTGACTTACTACTTAAACAAAAATATGAAAACTATGTATTTGTTGTACTTACTGTGGCTTTTGAAACACTGGCTCAGCAAAGATGGTCATGAAGATTCCTCCAAAAAACACAGATCTCAGATAATGTGCTTCAGGTTCAGGTTCCATAATGCTCAAGTGTCTCACCAATAAGGAGTCAAACTAAAAATTAACTTCAAGGATTGAGTTGTGATGAATTAAATCATTACCTTTTAAGACTTAAGAGTCTTATGATAAACACAGTGAATAAAGACTTATGAGTAATTACCTGTTGGAAAGTGAAAAAATGAGGAGCACACTTTAAAAATTAAACCCAATCATGTTTTGAAAGTTTAATATAGTTTTTATGAAACTTAAGTTGCAGTATTGAATACATGAGTTCATATTTTTATAACCTAAATGACTTTGTACATTTAAATAATTAGAAATTGCATGCCAAACAATGCAATTAGTTTGATGCTAATTTGAATATATATATAGATGTAATTCAAGCACAACTACTGAAGCAGAGCTCACAGATATGCTATGCAGCCCAAGTGAACCCTCTTCATAGTATGAAATGGTAGAAAATTTAAAAATGCAAACAGAATCTAAGACACCTTCCCCATAATCTCACTCTTCCTTCCACAGAAACAATCTATTATGGTTCCATCCTGTCTAGACAAAGTGGCTCTTGAATAATCAGACAACTAAATACTGTATAATAGTATTTAAAGCCATATATAAATAAATTTAGAACAGCATCAATTTTTTTCCAGAAATAATTAATGATAAAATATCCTTATTTTTCATTTGGTAAGTATTTATAAAAGTGTATTCACATAATGCTGAAAAGAATGAATAATATTTTAATTGAAGATAAGTATTATTAAATAATTGTATTTCTTTTATTTACATCATTTTGATAAATAGAATAAAATATTTTATTATGACAGGAGCTATATTATAAAAATCCCATTAAAAGAGATTAGTCTGCAGATGTCGAATAATTATTTAGTTCAATGAACATACTACATTTTGCTTTCTAAAAGTTATTGTATTGGAGGCTTTTTCTTGGCTTGCCCAACTAGTGTGGCTGAGTGGTTGAGTGTTAACCCATGCACCAGGAGGTAACCTGTTAGATTCCCAGTTAGGGCACATGCTTAAATTGTGGGCCAGATCCCCAATGGGGGGCATGCAGGAAATGGCCAATCGATGTTCTCTCTCATTGATGTTTCTCTCCCTTCCTCTCTCTTTAAAATCAATAAAGGAAAAAAAATTAAAAAATAAATGTTTTCTTATTTTAAGGTGAATTTTACTCTTTGATTTAATTAAGCTCATACAAGTTCTTGAAATGGAAATACCAGAGCTCTATTTTTTATTCAGTCAATAAAATACATAACTTTTCCCTGCTGGGAAAACATGTTATGTACAGATTGAACAAATGTTACACAAAACCACTTTGATAAGAAGTCCTCCAGGGTGAAATATATGAAACTGAGATGATTTTGTTTGGAATAATCAATGTCATAAAAAATCAACAAAAGGAGAAGAAAAGCAATTCTTTATTTTTATCCAAATATATTAGACTTTATAATTTAGTTAGGTTCAACAAAAACATAGAGCCACCATATAATATACCATCCAACCCAAGACACTCTAAGAGTGAAAAAAGAGCGCGGTGAATAATTACACAGGTACAACAGGAAAAACTGGAACTCTCCAAGGTGAACTGGGACCTATGGTCAACTCAGCAACAGGGGTTAAAACTGCAATTACATGCAGAAATTAAATCTTTCCCATACATTTGTGGTAAAAATAAAGGAATAGCATTCACTAAAAAATATCAGTTTTGGCAAGAGTGGTTGTTTTTTTCTCATCATCCAAGTCTCTAAGCGTCATCCCTTTCTAAACCAGTCACCTCTTCTAAAATAATTGTTATTTCATTCAGTAATTTTTTCCATTTTACCCTGTTTTCCTTCCCTTCACTAATATTTTAATTATCTGAAATCATCTCATTTGTTTTTCGTCTGTCTCACAGTGACCCTCCTCTTTCTCCTACTGATATGCAGTGTTCAAATGGGCAGTGACCCCCTCTGACATAGTCATAACCAACTCCCCCAGGAGCTAGAAATAACTAGCACATAAAAAACATGCAACAAAAATTGTTCAATGAATTAATGAAAATATTTGGAGAGTTTATTTGGGGGCCCACATTCTACTTGGTACCAAAGAGAAAATAACTCTCCAAATTAAATTATGGCTCTATTTAGTTGTAAGTGTTTGGACTAAATGATCTATGCAGTGTCTTCCACTGATAATAAATATACTATACCCCCCCGCCCCGGACTCCCTTCTCTTTCTGCTACTATTTCATTTTCTATATCCAGCAAGAAGGAAAGTTTGGAGATTAGGGGGTATGGCAACCAGCTCTATTCACAGTGGATGGATGCTCAAGGTTGATCATTTTGCCAGTAACAATTACCTGGTATACGTTTGCACCTACAGAATTTGGTTGATACAGAGGTAGCCAGAAGGTATTATTGTAGTCAATGATAGAATTATTGATGTGATAATTTTCTTGAAAAAAATAATCACAAGACTGCTAAAAATGGGAAATGATGAGTGCCCGAACCAGCCATTAAGGATTTGCTTGTTAATGAGGAGAAATAGGTTATGGGCCGACTTAGATTGCAATGTTCAAAAAGTTTTATGGGAAAATTCATTATATTCTGATAAGGAACACTTGTAAATTTTCATTAAGATCTCTGCATTCCAAATCTTTATTTTGTAGGTGTGCTACTGAGCAATAGTTTTGATTTCCTAATGAATCATAAATATAAAACCTTAATGTTAAAAAATAGTACTGCTAAAATTATTTTGGTAGGCCAGGGATCCAATACACCAATAAAACCAGTGTTTAACCAACCAAACAATAACACCAAAAACAAACAAAAAACGAATAGGTAAAATATCTTCAATTCATGTAATTTTAAATTCTCTTAAGTATATATACAAAACATTCCTCCTAAACTGAGTGACAGGTGTAGAAATAAAGTCTGACCTATTACAACAAATGCCACAAACAAAAAAAAGGCATAACAAAAGAGACTGGAAGGAAACACTTTGTAACCTGTATGAATGTGTATCTGCTGTGCTGTACACCTGAAACTAAAACCAAAAAAAAAAAAATGTGTCAAATGCAAACTGTAATAGAAAAATAAAATTTAAAAGAAATCTCTAAAAAGAAAAGAGAGACTAGATTAGACATACATATTTAAAGCATAAATATTTATCATCTGTTGCATTGTATTGTTGTGTCTCCTCAAGGATAAATTATTGTTTTTAAAAATGACAGAAGTTTCAGAAACAAAGTGAAAATTGACTCAGTTTGAAACAGGGACCATTAATTATGTAATTTCACACATTCTCGTGTATTTGGTATAACTTGGCTACTGACTATCACAATGATTCAGCATTTGTTCAGAGCTCATATTTATGTTAGATCATATACAAAACAGATTTCCATATTTTAATTAGTCCAGGAGAAGACCAATTCTCAAATTAAAATTTACGAGTGAAATATATAATGGTTATATTTTTGCAGGGCCATTAATAGCACAGTCTTGTGTGATTCCCTCATATAAAATACAACTGAAACCTTCCAGGACCTTAACAGTAGAAACCATTAAATCAGATTTTAAAATGACAAATAATTTAAGGCTAAAATATTTGGTATTAATAATTAATGCCAGTAGCCTTCCTAGCCTAATAAATTAAACATGCACAAGAACTACAACTTTGAACAAAACATCACAATTTTATCAGATATATATGTATGTATGCATGTGTATGTGTGTGTTCATATATATGTGTGTATATGTATATAGCCTATATACATATACACACATATATATATATATAGTTTTATCGCCCTGAAAGGTATCCACTCATGTTTGGCTTAATTCATATGTTAGAAATGTCATGGAGAGTACCACCCTTTTAAATATATATATATATATATATATTTCCAGAATATACAATATAAATATACCATATATAAATCATGCCATAAAACTAAATGCAAAATTTGCACATTATTGCATGCATGATGTGATAATACATGCCCATTAATAAGAATCTCCGTGTGATGTCCTCCCTTCACAACTTTTGCGTTCTGCACAGTAGCAGTACTTGGGAAGTAAGGGTTCTCAAATAAGCATATCTGACTGTTCCAATTCCTTAAAGAGGATTACCTCATCAGCCAAATATTAGATTATTACTAAATCAAACAGTACATAATTTCTAAGAAGGTGTTTGTTATGTGAATCGATCAGAGTTCATTTTTCTTAATTTGGCTGGAAGATTCCTTTCCATTCTGGCTCCTCCCCCAGCCATCTTTTGAAGCTTTGGTGGCAAATCAGCCACTGACTGGCTCATGGGATCAGACAACATCTTGGTGGTTTTAGATACCAGTTTTTCTTCTGAGTTGCCAGGAACCGAGCTTATTCGTTGAAGTTTCATGGGCAAATCCCCTAAGCTGTAGGCTTTTTCTGAAGTGGTAGAACTCATCCTCAAGAGTTTTCTGGGGAAGTCTTCTCTTCCAGTCATTTTCTGCAGCTTAGATGGAATCTTTGTGCTAAAGTCATCTAGTCCATCTAAGCATTCCACAGAATTATGTCTTTCTTTGCTGTTAGTTATGGCTGGTGCTATTAAGGGGGACGACATAAGAAGCATTTCCTCCTGTTCTTTCACACTGTAAGGGGGGGTGGGTACTTCAAATGTTGTGTGAAACTGTGAGTAATCAACTTTAAAGAACCCTTCTTCTAAGGAAATTACAGGGAAAAAACGATGACCCCAAAGAACTTCATCTTCAGTGTATGATGTTCGAGCTTGGCAAGTCATCCCTACAAGCAAAAAGAAAATCCTTGATAAATTATGCATGGTGGGAGCACAGGCAAAGCTAGTTTGAACTAAGAAATTTATCTTGCTTTTTTATTTAAACTTTGGACTGTTGATATGAGTAGATAAGTAATAGAATATGTTAAGAGTTTCCATATAATTTGATAGCTTAGAGTCATATACTTTCTTCCCATGAAAAACACAGGGTGCTGTTACTTTCATGTTTAGAGGGTAATACAGCAAAAGCATAATCAATTGTTTATTTATCCATAAACCAAAATAGAAGAGCATTGAATAGTATCAACATGTGTCTCCCTAAGGAGATAAGAATAGAAATCAAAATCATTTTCTACCATTTAAGAAGCAATGTGATATATGAAACAAACATGCCTTTGAATCCACACATTACCACAGTGTAAACTTTAAAAAGATATTTAACTGGGCATCATTTTCCTATCCTGTTAAGTAAAATGTGGAAAATAACACCACAGAGCTGTTGTGAACATAAATACAATAACATGTAAAGAAATATAAAATGTGTTGTGTAATGTCTACATACAGTTTATGCTTATAAATGACAACAAAGGTAACTAACCCAAGTATTTGCTAAATAAATAAAAGTTGGAAATATTTCTATGCTGGATAATGGGAAGTCATTGTGGTGGTTCCATTCTTCTGGACCTTTAAGGCCAGAAAGAACTTTTGTTCAAGTTTTAGAATTCTATATACTAAAATCAATTCCATGTGATGTTTAAAGTTCTATTTCTGCTGTAAGAATCTCTGAAACTGATGCTGGGTATCAGATGTTAAATTTTGCATATAATATTGCTTGGATAGTTACCTCATGCTAGTCTGATTTACTCAATTGTGTTGTCTTCATAAATCATTTACTTAGAATTAGTTACTATTAAATCAGTCAGCTTTTGAATATTCATTGCATGAAGACTGAAAGCCCATGAATAAATTAAGAACGTATATCAAATTGCAGTCTTATATTAGTCAAAAAACACAATTTCCCTAAGTTGTAAAATTCACTACTTTCTTATACCTTTACTCTCAGACTTCTATTAGAGGCTATTATAATGTAAAATTATAGATAATTTTAAAAAATGTATCTCTTTATAATTGAGTGTAATTTAAACAATGACAGTCTTTCTTCTCTCATTTCACTTCTTCCTTTGTAACTTTATAAATTATTTTTATTGTATTTAAGCCTGGAATAGTTTGGATAAAGGGGTATTCTATCTTTTTACCCCTGACCAGTAATTATACATACCATACTTAAAATTAGATTAAAATGCATCATTAAAAACCTATCGTGAAGATAAATCATTTATTGATTCTTTCTAAAATATTACCTTATTATCCATTATATATCACCAAGGAATAAGTTGTCACCACTTATAATACTGTTTTTTTTTTCTAGAAAGTTTTAATATAAATTTATATAAAAAATAAATGCCTATCATATATCAGGCACTGTGTTATATGCTCTCTCTACATTATTTCGAATCCCCAGTATCATCCTGATATGAAAATATTTGTATGTCCATTTGTAACATAAGGAATATATTACCCAAACAGATTAAATCTCTTGATCGTCCTTGGGAACAGATCTAGGAAGCTTTAGAAAAAAATGTCAGTATTATTCTAATTTTGGGGGTTATTTTGTTGTTTTTATTTATTATGTTTGTTTTATTTTGTTAAGAAACCAATTTTAAACAATCTATTAATTTGTCATGGTGGAAATCTGATAGTGGCCAAATATCAGTCTTGATAATCAATATTATATGAGGAATAACACACGGAAATATTTATATATAAAGATAACAATATTAGTTCAAAAAGTACTTTGTAAGTATTTTAGACATACACACTGTAACATTTTGTATTTTCAAACAATTCTCTAGCCTCAGATTAAATATTTCATAAGAAAAAAGGTAAAGATCATCACTAATTTAGAAAAAATAAAAAAATATATTGCCTGATATATTTACTTGTTTTATTTTGAGAATTTAAATTATTTATTTATTTATTTATATTAATTAATTTACTTTTGTTACAGCTGTTTCTCCTTTTTCCCCCATTGACACCCTCCTCCCCATCCTGCCCTCCACCCTCATAGCATTGCTGTCTATGTCCATTGGTTACACATACATGCACATAAGTTCTTTGGTTTATCTCTTCCCTCCCCCCACAACAGCCCCCTCCTCTGAGGTCTGTCAGTTTGAACCCTACTTCTATGTCTCTAGGTCTATTTTGTTCATCAGCTTATTTTGTTCATTATATTCCACAATATTTTGAGAATTTTGAAGATTCAGCAAAACAACTAGAATAAATAAATATTTAGGTTCCTATCCAGTAATATTTAAATAATAAAAACAATAAGTACCCTTTATTTGTTTAATTAAGAATTATCCTTTAATTTATCTCCAGAAGCAATCATGAAGTATATGTAAAGATATCTTGTATATATTCAGTTGAAGTAAATTCAGGTCATGAATTTATTTAATTATTTCTAACAGTAGAGTAAACATTGAAACAAAATTTTTATACTATTGCCATCTTAGCCCACTTCATTTTAGTGACTTTTTATTCACATTAAGGAAAGAATATGAAATTAAAAATGAAAATAAAAATTAAAATTGAAATTAAAAATTCTTTCCCCATTATTTACCATTATACTGTAATACAGAGGGGAAAATGCAAATTTACACAATTATTAGGGTGCTTAAGGTACACTGACAAATGCAATGGAAAAAGGTTGTTCCAAAGGTTTGGTCACATAAAAACACCTATAGGCATTGTTACTAGAATGCCAGTAGATGTTTTTGACTGAAACATCAGGGGTTTGATTCTGCCACATGAAAGTACCTTTACTTCCTTCCATACCAAACTAATACTTGTGAGGCAAACATTTTTCTTTAAACATATTTTTTATTGTTTGTTTTTTTTTAGAGAGAGAGAGAAACATTGATGTGAGAGAGATACATCCATTGGCTGCCTCCTGCACGCCTCCTGCTGGGCATTGAGCCCCATACCAGGGTACGTGCCCTGACCGGGAAAGGAACCAGGACTTCTCAGTCCATGGCAGGATGCTTTATCCACTGAGCCACATGGTCCGGGTGTGAGGCAACATCTTTATATCATTCTAAAGTATATGAATTTGACTCCCAATCCCACTACTAAATAGCTTGTAAAAATTGCCTAAAGCTCTCTGAACCTCAGTTTCTTCTTCTACATAGTAGAGATAGCAATAGCCTCCCTTTAATGCTGTTGAGAATTTGAGATAAGTGAAATACACAGAACAGTGCCTGGTATTTAAGCAGAGCTCAATAGATTATGACTGCTGTTTTTATCCTTCTGTAGTGATCACTTGCAATTCCTGCTGTTCCTGGAAATTAGAGATATTGAGTTAATATAAAGAAAAAATTCTGACATATTAGTCATTTGTTCCATATGGGAAATATAGAAAATTAAATTTAAAAATCACTAGATATCACATAGCAATTCTCTTTGTTAAAATGGTCAATTAAACTTGTAAAATATAGAAAAAAGTGCATTACTTATATTTCCAACATCTAGGGTTTCTCAATATTTTCCACCTAAGTTATCTCTAGCATAATAGGAGAGGCAGAGTGTGAACTCTTGGATGTATGGAAAAGACCTGAAGCTGCTCAGCTGGTATGGATCAGGGATTGAGCATCGACTCATGCACCAGGAGGTCACTGGTTCAATTCCCAGTCAGGGCAAATGCCCAGATTGTGGGCCCGATCCCCAGTAGGGGCATGCAGGAAGCAGCCAATCAATGTTCTTTCTCATTGATGTTTCTATCTCTCTCACCCTCTCTCTAAAAAAATAAAATAAAATAAAAAAGGCCTGCAGCAACCTGAGTGACAAAATACATGATAACACTTTGGTAATTGTACCAAAAATATTTGCCAACATTTTCATCTTTGTTTCTTCTTCTGTTCCTTTTTCACTTTTATTAGACATAGGTACACAAATATCAGACATTCCCACTTAACAACATTACATTCTTTATACATGGTTTCACATCAGAATATTAATGTGCAATCAACCTACAGATAATTATATGAAAGCATTAGAAGCTGAACAACAGGAACACATCTATGATGGTCAATCTGCAGTTTAGACAATGTGCTAACATAACATGTAACTGAAAGACTATTCTGTTTTACAAAAATTATCCCAAAATAATGTTAAGAAAAAATACAAATTTCAATTGGGAAGATTTAAAGTAAATATAATTATGTCTTCCAAGAACATGTATATAACCTGGTATTCTTCCTCTAGAATGTATTATTTTATATTTCTTACTCTAATCCAATTTATTTTAAAATAACCCATGCTTGGACTCATAATTGCAAATGCCATTACAATAAAAATAAATGCAGGCGAATGGCATTATTCAAAGGGTACTATATGATGCATCTCTTAACTGGCAATGCAACTGTTTGCATGTTTTAACCAGATCCCAGACATGAACAAATGTGATAAAAATCAACATGAGTTTCTCTCTGTGGAAACTGGCAAAGCAACAGATGTTACAACTGGAAATAGCTGGGGCTTCTGAATTCTTAGATGAAAAACATTTTGTGGAAAAAAAACAAAACGATTTATTCTGTGAGCTGATTCATGGACAAAACGGCTGTGTATTATTGTTTAATCTAATTCACAGCCTCAGTGTGCCAATCTAAAATGACAGAGGCAATGTAGTTTCACCTCTTTATTTTTTATTTTCCTTTTCTTAATTCTGCCTTTACACCCTGCTTTTACGTCCATTTATTTAACTGAATTGAATGTTCATTCAAATAAGAAGCCTGAAAGCTTTTAAAATAAAGATGGCAAAGTGAGTAGTTATTTGACAAGGCCTTAATTAATCTTTCAGAATACTTCTCACTGAGTATATCCTGCTCAGGGATGAAACACATGTCACCTACATGAGGTGAGTAGGTGATGGTTAAATACAACATAACTAGGC